CTATGGGAAAGATCCAAGAGAATTCGGGCTCGTCCGGGATTTGAACCCGGGACCTCTCGCACCCTAAGCGAGAATCATACCCCTAGACCAACGAGCCATGACATGTACCTGAAATTGAGCATTTAAAAAAAAAACTTAATTATAAAATACTGAATGAAGGTGGTCAGATAAAAGAGAGAGAGAGAAGAGAAACAACTTCCTGGATCTTTCTTCACTTCTCTGAACCTGACCTGAAAGTGTCTGGAGACAATCTGTGGTCTAGACTCATGTTTACATTGGAGGACATTATGTACTGACCCTAAGCGAGAATCATACCCCTAGAAGCACCGAGCCATGAAAACTAGTGACATCATGACAAAACTCGTGATGGATCTTGATTCTCTGTTGTAAAATCATTGTGTAATGTTTAGATTTCATCAGGTAATTCACTGCAGGTGAATTCATGACAGAACCAATAAATTCTCATGATCTCACAGTAAATTCTGATGTAGTTCTTTTTGTTCTGTTTTGGGATTCGAATCATGAAGCATTAAAATCCAAGTTTCTCACAGTTTAAGCTTCTTGTTATTTCTTAATTTTTTATTGTAGGCTTTGATGGAATGCAAATGGAAACGTGCACCAAATATTAGAGAGGAAACAAGGAGCCACTTGTAACTGAGAGGAAATACTGTATTTGCAGGCACTGGATGGCTTCACTGCTGTATTATAACACAGTATATTTTATACACAGAGTCATCAACATGTATTTCTGCATTTACTCTGACATATCCTTTTTTGAGTTGCCCTTAATCTTTTTAGCTGAACCCGGGACTTCTCTCATAACCCTTGACCCAGGAGGCTTCGTCAACAGATAGTGATGAGTCAGTTCAGCTCATCTCAGTTTGGAAGTAGATAATATAAATATATATTTCTATATATTATTACTTGTATTACTTACCTCAATACAGTTCAATCACTATATTTACAGTATTTATTTATGTTTTTAACACTTTCACAGGCTTTATCCTTATTAATCATCATTTTACAGTTACAGACACGATCACCTTTTAAATTTCAGTAAACTTCACTGATTGTAATTGTCCTCGGATATTGCGCTGATGTCATCGCTGTTGTCTCTCTTGTTTCTTGACTTCCTCTGTGTGCGTTAGATTTTCCTCCGGGAAAAAGATCATCATCATCATCCCGATGTAAAAGTTGGGCTCGTCCGGGATTTGAACCCGGGACCTCTCGCACCCAAAGCGAGAATCATACCCCTAGACCAACGAGCCATGTCTCACTGGTGAAATCTAACATTTAAAAAAAAAAAAATATTAAAGTAAAGGTGGTAGAATAAAAGAGGAAACAACTTCCTGCATCTTTCTTCACTTCTCTGAACGTGTCTGGAGACAACCTGTGGTCTAGACTCGAGTTTACATTATTATATATATGTATTGAATCTTAGTGTCTCCATCATGTCTTTATTTAACTGTGGTGACATCATAAACTTTTTATTCTACTTCATTCATCCAAAGAGATTCTTGACTTTCTCAACTGAGTGAGGTGTAAAAAGCTGTTTAATTATCTAACGGACAAGGAAAGGAGCTTCCATGCTTCCTAACCTATCTCCTTCAGCAGAGGAAACATGGGAGCGTCCTTTACGTGAGGAAAGGAAAAAAAAAATGCCGTCCCACAATTCTTTGCGGCCGCCACGTTTAAAGCGACGCCACTCTGTAGTTACACCTGGACACGTGTCATTCTGTTGTAAACAGGAAACTGTAATATCACTGAACACAGCACATAGCACTCAGAGACAGTAAGAAGCATTTTGTTATAAATAAAGTTTTTCAAAGTTCGAGTTGAGTCGGATTTTGCGCAGAGCTTCTTCTTTCCTCACTCAGGATAATTAGATCAACAATAACTAGACTAGAAAGGTTGTGATGTTTCCTCGACCTCGTGAATATCACTGGGGTGAAGGAGGTTTAGTGGTTAGGAAAGGAGACGATCGGACTTTATTTGAACGCAGCCTGTGTCCCGCCTCTGTTTAAACATGGGGAGTAAAGATGGCGCCTCCCTCTGGAGAGGCCTGTTCCAGCAGCAGGTCTCAGGTTTGTCTCCAAACTGTGGAAACTTCTTCAGACTCTTCTGCTGAGGACACGAAGACTCCAGGTCAGAGGTGAGTCCAGCTCCTTTACCTCCTCTTCAGAGATCTGCTGTGACTTTGTTTGACTCCATGGTTTTTGTTCTGAGTTCTCACTCTGCACACTTTGGAATGAATTGTTGAACTGTTGTTGAAATGTGTTTGTCTTTGCCTGAAAGTGTTGTTCTCTTGTTCTCTTGTCTGGTTGTTGATCTCTGGACTCTTTACTGTCCCTGAATATCCTGAATACTTTTATATTCTTTGTTGGTTCAAAATAAAAAAAGTTGCTTTATGGTTGAAGTTGATTCACAGATAAATAAATGTTTCTACAGAAATGTTTTAACAAAATGAAATAAAAACTTCCACAGAATCACAAAGCGTCTTATGTTGTCATTCAATGAATATTGTGTTTGTAGGCCTGAAGCCTACTTTACTTAAAACTCAGTGAGCTTAGGGGAACAGTTGTTGTTGTGGAGCAGAGGGACACATGTATTTTACACAAGGCCCATTTCACCATGATGTATTTAATAATCTGTGGATTTAGATAATAAAGATAACTTTTATAAAATGAGGCACTTTTGGAGGGAAACTGAGTCTTCCTTCTCTTCTTCCTCCAGCTTGAAGGTGCATTACTGCCACCTTCTGACCTGGAGACTTTAACTTTACCTACGTTAGACTCTTCTGTCCTGTTTTATTTAACCCTACAATTTATGTCGAGTATTTCACAACATCTGTAAGTGTATTATACACTGGACAGATGCTAATTTAAGGTGAATAAAGTTTCTATGAAGTCACGAGAAATCTCATTGATGCTCCACGAGCAAAGTATTGTTGGGATTGTGTTTCACTCTTTGTTTAATTTGCAATGTTTCTGCTTTTACATCAGATATTCTGCGGCACATGTGTTGATCTTGTGAGTTACTTTTGGTGGAAATGTTTGAATTTCACTTTTCCAATTGAAAACAATAATTGTTTTATGTCTTCAGATTTTCAATAATGAAAATATACAAATAAAGATATTTTAAAGGTCTGGTTTCTGTGTTGAGGTAATTGAAATCAACACAAATGAAATGTTACCTCTTAATGTAATTGGAGAATCAGTGTTTATTCAGGCTGATGAAATGATTGATGAAATGATTAAAAACATGACACCTGCCTCTCTGTTCTCATTCTGCAGGTTTCTGAGTCAGCAGCTGCATGTTCCAGGTCTGTCACTGTCACTCAACTATCATTTCTATTGTTTAAAACCTGTTTTTATTATTGCTGCTATAAAACATTGACACTGCTATCACTGCTGCTGTTCATGTATTTTATTACTTCTTCCTCTACTGCTGCCACCCTGTGTTACATGTGATAAAATAACATTTTGTTTGTCATTTTATCACCAATTAAAGCCTGTTTTTATTATTCACAGTTTATTAGATGTTATGAAATCTTTCCTCCTCTACCTGGCTGACTCTTTCCAGCTCAGTGGCTCCCTCGATTGGGACGAGTCAGTATTGCAGTAAAGTAAAATGCTCTTCTTTTCCTTCACATAGTGTGAAATGTCCTGTTTCTGTATATTTTTGTCATGTCATTAAATATCAGCTCGTCTCTTGATAAGGACTGTTTGCTGCCTCACTCTACAACCTGTGACCTGCGAGGTTATAGAGGAGTCAGACTAATAGAACTGTTAAATGTGTTAAATTGCACACTTTATCGCTCCATTTTAATCCATCATTATTACCGTATGCTACAGAGGCAATGATGTGAAGCAGTTATTTATCTTGACCGGGTGATTGAGTGCTGTGTGGCCGCCTGCTTTTTAATTGGTTAACCCCCCCACCACCACCACCAGCAGCAGCACCACCTTTCCTTTTGGCGGTTGCATGGATTTTAATTGGGTGCCTTTGTGTTTCACCTCGCTTCCCTCCCTGCACATAAATCCACTCACCTGACGGGCTGACTGGTGTGGAGGTTAATTCAGTCTCAGCTCAGTCAAGCCTGGTGAATTAATTCACCGTGCAGCATATGAGCCGCAATGAAAAAAAAAAGAGCTACAGTAAATATGTTTTAGTGGCTTGATACTCGGATATTACAGCAGAATTACAAGCCCAGTGGGGATAGCAGAGCAATGCCACTGGCAATAATATCTGCAATAATATCTGCTCTGCATGGAGGCTCTGGCATGTTTAAGAGTAAAGGAAAACAAATTAAACCAAACAATATTCAGTTACAAGCAGTTTCCTATTGTGTGATTGAAGGAAATTGTTAAATGTGACTCTGTAAACTGAAATGTGACTGAGCTCCATCTGTTATTGGACTTCTATCTCTTAGAGGACCATGTGTGTAATTTAGTGGGGATGTATATGCAGAAATTAAATGTAGAACTCATAAAGATGTGTTTTCTTTTTTTGTACAACCACCTATCCTATATAGTGGAGTTACTTTACTCCATATAGGCCTAAGCTGTATTAATTCATCTTACTTTTATGTTCAGGGTTATTTATTTCTATTTTTTGACCTATAAGTGGTTAAAGCACGATATGAATAAAATGGATTATTGTTATAAATGGTCAGATCAGTGTCTCTGACCAGTCCAGATTTTTGTTTCCACTTTCGTTAACATTGAAAGTGTTTTTTTGTTAGTTTTTTTTTACATTCTCAGTTATTCCTCAGGAGACGATTCATGGATCTTAATGACAGAAATGGTAAAACAATATTAAAGGGACTGAAATGTGATTGAGTCTAAGGAGACTTATTGATATGCAACATGTCTCCTCACATATTCTACCATTACTGACAGTAACTCCTTAATTCATTTGTCATCGCGGTTCCCTTCATCTCTATCAGACATTTTCTTGATGTATAAATATTTTAAACATTCACACTCTTTTCTGTTCTTTTGCGGATGTGTTCAGTTTCATCTATTGCACTTCTGTCCGAGCTGTGGTACCATTTGACTGTAGTCGGGCCTCGGTGAAGGTTTGTGTCTTCTGAGGGACATTCTGCACCAATAACTCAGCCTATGGTGACTTTTTATTTAAAAAAAATCACTTCACCAGCAGATAACCAACAGTTCCTTTTCTCTCAGATGAGCTCTGGGTTGGTTTGTGGGCCATCAGGGGTTCAGCAACAAGCGGCCAGAGGCTCACATGGAACAATGGGCTTCAGATGAAAAAGAAAAAAGTTGTATTAATAAATCCAGTGTGGACACAGAGAGCAGCAGAGTGATGACACTTTCCTCCCTCATCTCTCCCCCGCTTCCAGTTGGTTTCCTCCCAAAGAAAAAAAAAACCCAGGACCGTCTCCCGGCGGGGAGGGCCGGTGACCTTATAGCCTCCAACCTGGCACCAGCACAGGCATCGAGCGGCTGCGCCTCCACCGCAGAGACCGAGAGTCCTCCGGCCCTCCGAGTCACCTCCATCATGAACAAGGACAAGCAGAGCAGGCAGGGGCCGCCGGAGAGCGGCGCGCCCCTCTCCCCGGCCTCGGGCCACGCGAGGCCCGCCAGGATGCCCAAGTGCTCCCGCTGCAGGAACCACGGCTTCGTGTCCCCGCTGAAGGGACACAAGCGCTTCTGCAACTGGAGGGACTGCGAGTGCGTCAAGTGCAAACTGATCGCGGAGAGGCAGCGAGTCATGGCGGCGCAGGTAACCGTGCACCACACCTGTCAGCGCGGCTAGCTTCACCCGCAGCGCCGGGGGTCAGGGATGGAGGTTTGTTCTTTGAAACAGAGAAAACTCATCATTTAACCCGCGGTGGAAAATCATTGAACTCCACGTTCACTTCTTTTTAATCGTTGGAGATGAGTTTTAGTGTTTTTCTCACTTTAATTAGCTAACTTTGTTTACACACAGCTAGCTTAACTTTAACACAACTTCACGTGTGTTTGTGGACATTTAAGTGTATTTTATCGCTTAATACATTTTAGAGACGGTTTATTAACAGACATGAATTAACATGAACCATCTACATCTTAATATATGGAGCTAAGTTAACTTTACTTATTGTTTTTCCCACTTTAATTTGTGTGCTAACATGGCTAACTAAAATGTAGCTTTGTTTACACACAGCTAGCTTAACTTTACCACAACTTAAAGTGTCTTAGTGGATATTTAAGTGAATTTTGTTCATATAAATTAATGACCATTAATTATACTGATTTACTGTTATATTTTTTTCATAGCTCGAAGTTTTTATTTTATTTATATTTGGATTATGTGTTTATTTATATATGTGTGTGTGTTTGGATGAAAAATAAAACAATATCAATAATTATCGCTGTATAATTTGTCAGTACAACAAATATATATATATCAACATAATGCCACAGGACAAAGCAACTTACAATAAGCCTGGAGTGTATTATTGTATAGTTTTCTTTATTTATCTCATCAGTGTAATAATATTCTAATTGTGTCCAGTAGTTATTCTGTAGTAGGCAGATACCGTCTGTTCTCCAAACTGTTAGAGGATCTGTCAGTTTTGTGCCAAACAGTCTCACACCAGTTCTGTCCTCCTCTCCAGGTCGCCCTGAGGCGGCAGCATGCTCAGGAGGAGGAGCTTGGGATTTGTAGTCCGGTGACTCTGCCTGGACCCGAGGTTCTGGTGAAGAATGAAGCTGGAGCCGACTGCCTGTTCTCTGTGGACGGACGATCCCCGACACCGACCGGCAGCGCCTCCGCTTCCTCTCTGGCTTTCACAGGTGAAGTATGGGCCGCTAACTGTCCCACCGCCCTCTCACGTGTCGCACCCCCAGCCGACGGCTGAGCGCACAGGAGCACAGTCCAAGCAACAGCAGCTACTGGACTACAAATTCACCTAAATCTAATTAAACTGACTTCTCAGTAAACTTGTCTTAAGAGAAGCAGGATTACAGCTTTTAAGGTTTAGAGGAGGTTGGTTTTAATCACTATATACTAAGATTAGAAAAAATGTTGAACAGGCAGCAGAACCACATTCTGTTCAATCTGTTTATGCCTTAAATTCATTCTTAATTTGAATCCCTTTGACATTTAAGAGCATTTCTTGTTATTTTTATCAGGTCAAAAAGATAGAACAGAATAGAAACCCTTTATTGTCATTGTAGTGTACAGTTATAATCCTGGTTGGTAAATAAAATCCTAGAAGAACACATTACTCACATTATATCAGTCTTCGTCACGTAAAAGCAGCTGGACTCAATTCCTTCAGGTCACTTTAACAGTTTCCTAAATAAAAGCTGCAACCAGCATCACCACAGACTGAGTTAACATCCCATTCCACTCAGGCAGGTTTACAACAGACGCTGCACTTATGTTTTCAAGTTCAATTCAAATAAATACACTAAAATCAATGAAACGGTCCACATGACAAGAATACATTCATAGGCACTGAATATACTGTTTTCATGTGAAAACAAACGTGAAACATGAAGTTGATTTGCTGACCAAATTATAAGGCATGTTTCTCGTCGTGTGGAGGCAGAAACAACAGATACCGAGTTCCCGCTCGGCCAGATAATACATTTCAGGAGGTGGAATATGACTCTGGTCAAGGCTGCTCTTGTCCTGCTCTGTCTCTGCTTTGTATGTGTGAAAGCATGAACTTTCGGTGGCTGGCTTGGCAACAGAGGGAAAATAGTGAGGTGGAAAAAGGAGTTAAGCACTCAGTGAATCGCTGATGACAAGAGTTTGAACGGGGACAACAAATGTCATTATCTTTGGCTTCAGTGGTGCACAGTGTCTTCGTTGTGTCAGCAGCTTCTGCCTGAGAAGAATGTGGCCTTGTAGATAAGGAAAGTACAACAGATAATAAGTAATGAGGATTAAATGGTCTTATTTGTACTGATATGAAGCCACATTTCTGTGCTGTGATGTTGAGGTGTATCAGTTGTCGCCTGCAGATGGTGCTATTGACAGCAGATTGAGGGAGGGATGGCCTGACTTGAGATATCTTGTAAAGTTCAATAAATGTCTTTGTTCCCTATAAAAGATGCCTGGAATCAGGAACACACTCACATTTACAGCCTGACTTATTTTCCTGAGTTGCAACAAGCAAAAACTAAATTCATCAAAAACAATTCATCCTCCGCTCCAAAGGCAGCAATGACCTCAAAACATACACACACACACACACACACACACACACACAAACCTCCTGAAATATCTGAACTGTGTCGATCGTTGTCTTATTTGTTTGTTGTGTGTCTCCGCTCTGTGCTGTATGTGTGTGTCGGTCCAGGGAGTCGCTCGGCATCATCCTCCAGCCCGTCGGCCGGTGTTAGGGCTCATGCTGAGGGAGCGTCCGACCTGCTGATGGAAACCTCCTATTACAACTTCTACCAGCCGTCATGCTACCCGACCTACTACAGCAACCTCTACAACTACCAGCAATACCAGGTGACTATATCCACTCTGCTTGTGTATCAGTGACTGAGCGTGTCTGATAGCTCGTGTTAATGCTGTGGCAGCCGTTCTACTGCAATGTACATATGAATATTCCCCCGTCAACATTAGATTAACGTGTTGGTATGTTGTGGAAATTGTTGATACTGGTTGTTGGTGTTTTTAATTTAATTTACTAACTTCAGGAGAATGATGAGCTTTGTTACAGTTTTATAATCACATTCATAATCTCCTTTTTAGATAAGGTTAATCTTCTGCTGTGTGTTACATTTATAATTAGTCTGTTTTTATTTGATTTGAGTTCATGATAAAATTCTGGCCTGGGCGATAAAACAAATAATTATCGTAATATAGTTTTCATCAGTAGCAACATAACAAAGGTTCAATATATATATCGATATATTTCTTATTAATTCAAGCAAAATGAGTTTAATACATAAATTATCAACCTCAGATTTTATATTTCTATTTTTTGGATTGACTTTCCGTATTGTAACACATCCACTACAGGAGTTGCTTTTAGAAACTTAAAGTAGTACTTGTGTCAACGTGACTTTGTTTCATCCATACTTACAAAAACTCTTCCGAACTTGAACTTTCTTCTCTTCATTATTTCAAAAAGTACCTTCCATCTCCAAACACACGAAGCAAAACACGCCAAATTATTAAATGATGACAAAAGCACCATGAAAAGATCATCTGAAAACATTTAGGTTTGCAAGAATCAATTGTCATAATGAATTGAATAATCATTTAGTATTAAATAAGTGGAAGTTTAATCTAGAATCAAAAGTGACATTACAGCGACATAACTCAGCACGTTTGAGAAGCTGTGAAGAAATATTTAGTAGTTTTGCTTGATGAGAATCAATGACAGATTATTTATTTATTGTTTTAGCAGCAATGAAAGGTTCATTTTCAGATTTAGAAAATATCAAGACGTGCAGAAGAAAGTTAAAGAGTAGAAATCATTTACAGACAAAAGCAATTTTTGTATATTATAAAATGGCGAGAAATTATTGAGAGGCTCCAAGCGTGTGTGTGCGTGCGTGCGTGTGCGTGTGTGTGACCTTGTGAACATAAAAATGTATAAATTACTGTTGAAATAAACAATGATCATCTTATTTCTTTGTTTTCGTTAGAGATGGATTAGAATGTCTGTTTTAGTGCCTCATGGTATAACATAGGTTCAACACATCATGGAGATGGTACACACACACACACACACACACACGTGCATATTCACGCTGATTTATGTTTGCATGTATCTCTATTGTGTCAAATGAGATGAGTTTGTGCGTGAAGCAAATTAGATCTATAACTCTCCAGTGTTCTCTGATGAGGTGTTTTTGTTTTTTTTCCCCCCTATGAAGAACGTTTGCCCCCCCGCCCTCCGCCCTCCCCAGTAGCAACATCTAGTTTTGGGGTCACTGCCTCCGCTAACCCGCCACTGCGCGGCAGAGCCTGAATTGCAAAGGTTAATGGTATTGTCTGTCGGCAGAGGAACAAACCGCCATGCCTCAGCGCTTGAAGGAGAAAGTGAGCACATTAATGCTAATCAGTTAGCACTCTTTAGCATAATTTGTCCATCCTCCTTTGTGATTTATGGTATTTTCAGCGGAGATGTCAGGCTGAGAGGGCTACGTGTTATGGTTATTCAAATTCAGAGACCCCTTTTTTTTGGTATTTGCATGAAGAGCTGATTGTTTGAAGATGAGTTTCAGTGCCACAAATACGTAGGTTGTAACTAGAGATTGATTGTTATCGTGATTGAATATCTCTGTAGAAATAAAAGAAGCAGTCAATCATAGCTTATCACCTGAGTTAGAATAATTATCACTACAAACACTTTATTCTTGTCTCCTCTACCTGTCCTAAACCTCCAGTGTAAATGGGCTGTGCTCCAGTTTTTCTTGACTTACTCAGTTGGGATTTTGTCTCCAAAGCTCTTATCGGTGTGTTTCTCTGCTCTATCAGTTTTGGGCTCTGACGCACTTTATCAGTGACTGTCAAAAGGTTTCAGTGCTATGCCTGATGCACATTTCTTATGAGTTGAGGTGTTCTACAGACTTCATAACGTGCACAAGTTCACCATACATTTTGAAATCAGATACTTATACCATGCATGTAGAAAGTTTCTAAAAACCGCTTACATTGGTTCTGCAAAAGCACAATGGCCTTTAGTCTATCAGCTGATCTTGAGCCGGCACGCCATCTTCGATCAGCTGATAAATCGTCTTCTGGTGGTTCTGGATCAGCTCCAATGCACCTAGATCTTCATAGACGTTAGCACCATGCACATCGCTCTGCTAAAATGGATATTCGTATTCTTTCATGTCTGTCGTACTTGACATTTCATTTGTTATGGTCTTGAAAAGTATTGAATTTAACTTTTTGAAACTTTTTGCAGAGCTCCTCTCATGAAATAATCTCAAAAAGTGCAGTGTAATACAAGTTTGTTTAAAAAGAATCAAGATAATCTCATAGTGATTGTCATTATATGGTGATCTACAGGTCTTCAGTGCTCTTCTCACCACCAAGTGGAAGCCCACAGAGGAGCACAGTGGTCTTTATCAGTGTAAGGCCATCTACCACCTTCTCTCCTCCACTGTGCACTCACTGGTGCTTGGCTGTCATGCAGGTGGATGATGATGATAATAATATAAGGGTGGTGGTGGTGAGCTTCCAGACAGGAGATGGTGCCAGATAAGGAGAGATAGGCCCTCTCAGGGAGGTAGGGAAGCCCCCCCAGGAGTCAGCAGGTTATACTTCAGGGAGTTTATACTAAGATGTGTGACATCTTCCCTCTCAGAGAAAAAATAGCTGCCAATGTTTTCAGATTTTAACTCACTCAGGTGTTGAAAAAAAGCTCCTGTAGAGTCATTTCTTCTTTAAATGACGTCTCTCGTGTTGTGTTGTTGTCATTAAAATCTATATGAACAATTCAGGTCATTAATGTGTCTGACAGCAAAAGTGTTGCTCCTGTAAAAAGCCTCAGTACAGAAACTAAAAGAACCTTAAAGCTGGACACCTCCGCTAAGGTCCGACAGTCCCCTTAAACTCAATCATGTACTTTAATTTTCTAATTTGGCCCTTGTCCCATCTACTAACATGAAGAAGGTGGGGTTTACTACAGATACTGCAGCCAACCACCAGGGGGCAAGAGAGATGACTTGGCTTCACTTCTGTGGAGCTGTAATGTCGTCCATCTTTATTTCGTTGGGGTAGATGACAAAAAAATGTTCCTTGATGGTTCAAATGAAATTCAGCCCATCTGTAAACACTGAGAAAGTAATAAATATTTATTTCGGCATCACACTGACACTTGAACTTTAATCTGCCGTACGACCTCTGGATGTAAAACCTGATTTCTTTCTTTTCCTGTGAACAAGCAGACCCTTTGTCTGGGCGCCGCATGTGTCCTTACAACCCGTAAGCTTAGTGCGCTCAAGACTCCAGTCCAATCTCTGTTGTATTTTTCACAGCCCAATACAAGAGCTGAGTGTAGCTTAAATAACAGTTTATAAAGCTGTCGGAGAATTGATGGTGTGGACAATACGGGTGACATATTACAGGCTGACAGAAATCAAATTCCATAAAAGTGAAATTGAAAACCCTCGCTGAGGCGGCCTTGCTGCTGAGTAGACAGCTCGTTTTAAAGTTTTCTGAGGACTGGAGAAATCCAGCGCCGTGTTGCAGCTCATTTTTAGAACAAGTCGGGGACCTGTGAAATCAAACGCGACTAATTTTCTGTCACGTTTTATGTCTGTATTTTTTTTTGTGGTCAGTTTAGTGAAGTCTGTGAATATCTGATTTGGAGGATTGTACAATTATATGTGAAAGGGGAACAGTTCTGTTTGTGTTGTATTTGAAAATATAAAAGGATCAGGTATATCCACCGGTGGATATATTAAAGAATCTTATACATGGATGATAAATCACAGAGCTGTGAACACATCACTGAGTTCTTACATGTTATTTGTTCATATAGGAAAATCAGTATTTTATTTGAAAACCCATCTCTTTGTAAAACTGTGTCCTGATCAAATCCTGAAAAACTAGTTTAACGAGCGCAGTGACAGTTGAAGTATTAACTTGTATCCTTTTGTTGATGATTTCACCTTGAGTGTGTTCCTGCAGAAAATAAAATGTAGCCTCTGCAAACGACGAATGACCAAAGCAGCAAAGACCTGAATGTGCAACGTTCCTTTCTCCGGCATCATTTGTCCCCATTGAAACTGTGTAACCTGCCACCGAAAAACCAAGTATATTCATGTGTGATCATTTTGAATGGTTCTGGTGATGCCGAGCTTTACCTTACGGCCATTCGACACGCTACCACACATTAGAGATATTATTTTATTATACTTTTGACTATTGCTCAGACAAAACTAGACTTTTGAAGTTATCGTCTTCGGCTTTGGGAATTGTCCCTTATTTGTACGCTTCGCATTTAGTTGCTCATTGAGAAATAAATGAGAAAATAAGTTGTTGCATTCATATTCCTAAAATCATTGATACCTAATACAGTTCTTTATTTTATTATTATTTTTACGACGTTTGTAAAATTGCCTGCGTGTGTTCTTGTATGAAGCAGATGTCTCACAGTGACAGCCGCCTGTCCAGCCACAACATGTCCTCTCCGTACTGCATGCACTCCTACTACCCAGCAGCCACCTACCTGACCCAGGGTCTGGGCTCCACCACCTATGTGCCGCCCTTCCTCAACCTGGACGACAACAACAACAACAACAATAACTACTCTGACACCATGGCAGCCTGTGAGTCGCACACAAAGACACTTAAAGTTTTACCCAGACTTTATCAACAGTGCCATAGTTATAAGATGAAATTGGTCTCATGTGAATTTTAGGTGAAAATTATTTTTTCTTAAAATTCGAATAAAATTGAGTTCATGTGTTAAATCAAAGAAAAGCAAAGTTAGAGTTTCGGGAACTTGCCTTGTACTTATCTTTTCTGTTTAGCAGATGACAAACGGTTGATAACAATGATCAACTTCTCAGCCATAACTTAATGTGCTGTCTCTTATTTGCAGTTATCATAGAAAAAGCTATCAATTTCACAACAACCACTAAACTGTTGAAAGATGTGACAGCGCAGCTCTGTTTGTTTTCATGAAGTTGATGGATGAATCGAACGTGATCTCAGATTTCTACATCTCTGACTCGCTTCACCACCGATCTCAGCTGGGAATCTCCTCCGTGTTTCCTTAAAATCTGATTGTGTGTATTGCTCAATATTTTCAGGAAAGTATTTGAGGAACTTACCAAAGAATTCATACAAACACACGATGAGAGAGATAAGAGGAAAAGATCCGGCAGAGAGAGAGGGAGGGAGGGATATTGTTTTTACTGGTATTCAAACTGAGCATCACTGGGATTTAAAGACGTTTTGTTATGGTTTGTTTTACTGGGCTTTAGTTATTTAAGTTTGCAATTATGTGAGAAGGTTTTTTCAAATTAAATTAAAGCCGGCCATGATTAAGACAGTAATAGTTTATTTTTTTCTGCAGCATCAGTAAGTTAAAGGCACTAGTTTTAAATCCTAATGACTCCTTGACAGTCTGGGTTTGTTGTATTAATGTTGTTTCAGTTTTTTATAGCGGAAGAACTTTTATTTACAAGAATATTTACCTGTATTCACCTTTAAGCCGAGTAATTCAAGGGGGAAATTCAGATATCACAGCAGCCCAAGCTTCAAATAAATACAGGTTAAAAAAAAAAAAAAATAGACACTGCAATTAGATACTGAAATACAAAGCAGTGCAAAAGCGTTCATATACCTGCATGTGAGAAAATATCTCGAGCTCTGCTGTCTCTGAAGCACCTGTCGCAAACTCAGCTGTACAGAAATGTTCCTCAGATATTAGAGGTTGAACTGTATAACATCTCATCATTAGTCAGCTTGTCTTGAATGTCTTTTAAAGAAGGCAGCTCCGAGTTATTACAAGTCTTCTAATGTTCAAAGTGTTATTGAATGAGAAGGGCTGAAATCCCGGCTGTATTTTTCATGAGGACGTCTGTTGGGATCAAACAATGAAGTGGCGGTTTTTTCCATTAACAAAAGTCGTATTGTACATTATTACTCATTTATATAGGACATAGGGGACGAGTCATTAGTACAAAGACAACATCCTTCTTTTAGTGAAACTGCTGACACCACCAGCATCTCAAAAAACCTGAAGACCCCCGCATCTCCCCTTCTACCTGTATTTGTTTATGACTTTCACCTGTCCGTTTCCTGTGAGGGTCCCATGTCGGCCTCCTGCCGTGCGTCTCCATGCTCCATTACAAGACAACAAAATCCTCAGAGGGTGGTCCCACATTTGGTGGTGCCAGAGAAACAAACCTCCCAAACCAGAGGCTGTAGATTCAATCCAAGATACACTCCCCCTTTTTTCAGAATTCAAGATATGTGTATTTTATTAATTCGTTTTTTGAATATATGGATAATTATATATATATATAAATTACAATGAACAAAGATCTTTGTTACCGGTGATACATAAAACCTCTGTCATGCTCTACTGAGCTGGTATTATAAGTCAGCACACTCACTTTGCTGCAGAATGTGGATCTTTCCCACACAGACCAAAGTTTTTACTAATTCACGACAGGAAGAAATTCCTGTAATTATCTTTGGAAACAAGGTTTTTAGCTTCTTATCACTTCTGTAATATACCCTCACTGTACATGGGAGCGAGTGTATCCACTTATCAGAGACGCATCACATCTGATGTACATTGTGGGACCGTGAAAGTGTCTAAGTGTCCAAATCTAACTGTCAACACTCCCCTGAAATCTCAGTTTAATCCTCGGATTGTTTCACTTTGACTAAACTAATGTTGAGTCCACGAGGAGGAAATCTCTGTGAGCTGTGAGTGTACCTGCCCTCCCCTTCTACCTCACTGCCAAGCACCACCCTGTCAGATTTATCTCCCTCCCAGGAGAGGGCTAATCAGTTGGCCAAATACAGAGATCCAAATAACCTTCAGGAGTGCCACGCTGTCCTTTCCCCTCCTCGCCTCCCCCCACCTCGCTCTCTGCCCTCCCCCTCCGCAGGCCGCGCTGTCTCCGCAAAATTGCCTTCTGGAGTTAGTGAGCGGGAACAGTTAAGATTTACAAACAATGATGAAGCTTGTCATGCGTCTTTCTCCATCCGTCACGGCGGGCCGGGTGGAGCTGTGGGTAGAGCCGTCCTGGTGTTCTTCATAAAAGCCAGCTCTCTGTGAAATACGCCCCCGGCCGGCCTGTTTACTGCCCCGCGCTCGTCAGCAGCCCCGCCGCCGTAAATCGCTGAGCGGGAGGTGACAGCGCAGTCCATCAAACTCCCACCCCACCTCGCTGCCCTCCCAACATCTCACCTCGCTCTGCTCCACCACCACCCCCCCCATATCTACACACACACACACACACACACACTCATGCTGTATCTCCACCAACACACACCCTGCTTCCTCTCCAGGATCTAACCGGGGAGGCTCAGATGAGCTGCCCCAAAAGACTTATGGCTGTTTCAGTCTTACAGGAGACAGCTTCAGGCCGAGTCTGAGTCTCGTGTTTATGTTCTTTCTTTTTTGTCCTTGTCTGGACTTTTTCAAAATTGAAAACTGCTCAAAGTTTGCAAGCTGTCTGCACAGCAACTTTACTCTCGTGTACTTCTTGCTTTTTGAAAAAAAAACCAAAACAAGATTTATACTGAAGTCCGATCTCAGTGGAGCGCAGCTGTGCCGGCTGTACATTTGTCTGTTTTGTTATATTGGTGTCAGCACAGTGTACAGTAATTTAAATGCAAATCAGATTGTTGAGGTATTGCAGATGTTAATCCTGCTAATCGATGGACCTGTGTGAGCCCATTAAGTTAGAAATCCATTACTATCTTTCTAGATGATATTCTATTGATTTTACTGGCTTCAATCTATACTCTACTGTACACCACAGTGAGTTACTGCGTATAAAGTCTGTCGGTTCAGGTTCTCCGCCTCCTCGGGAGGAAAAAAAGTCGGAAAAAAATGACAGAGAGATTGGTGTCAGTAAGTTTCTTTGTTTCGTGTGCAAAATGGGCTTTACCTGCTTCCAGATCAGATTACTTTAAACTTCACAGTTCACACACACACACAAACACACACACACACTTACTGCATGTACCTGAACTCACACTGGGGCCACACTCATTCTGGAGATGTCACAAAGGACTCTCGCTCTTTAGGATTTATTAAACCTGAAACTAATGGGTACTTCCAACCTAAGAGGTGACCTTTTCAAAGGAAGTGCTGTTTCATGTCATGTAGCAGCCAGAGTTCAGTTCCTTGGTCACTGACAAGCCGAGAACATCGCTCAGCTCAGTACATGTGCTCAGCGTTGTTTCACCGTACCTGAGAAAAACTAAGGCTAAGAGAGACGGTTGGTTTGGATCGTGGTTCATGCGTTTTGATTTAATCTTTATAATGCAGACCTTTAAGTTGTAGTTCCTAATATCGATGGCATAGTTTAGAAAAACAATTATATTTATTTTGATTTTAGTTTTAACATCATTTGAAGTTGAATGATGCTCAAACAATGATTATATCTAGAATTTAAATGAAATTAACCTAAACGTGTGTCCACTGGGATTGTTCACAGTCGACCGTCAACGCTGCTTGAATTTTTGATTATTGCCTTTTCAGAAATTGCTTTTTTGAAATTGTTCAGTTCGGACAAATTTGAAACACTTGAATTAACATCGGTATGAAAGATTCACCTAAAATGACAGATACTATCTTTGAGAAAAATGTATTTCACGTGTACTTTTTTTCTTTGGGCCATGTCCCATCCACATACATGGGTAAAGTGTGGTTCATGATCTATTCTGTAACCAGCCACTAGGGAACCTTTGAGACGCTTTGTCTTCATTTGGCTGCGTGCTGCAAGGTGCCCATGTACAGCAGACTTACAGAAAAGAGTTGTTGCAACTTCTTAAATATTTTTTCCAGTGGACTACTAAACCCTAGAAAGATCTAAAGTTCCCTTCAGCACAGTTTTCACAATTGACTTGTGTTTGAGCCGATAACTAGATTCAAACTGTAAGTGAGAGCCAGCAGTGGAGAAAGTTTCCCTGCCGGGGCCTGTCGGTCCCTGGAGGGCCTCTTTGAATATGTGACTGATTGAGTGTCTCTCCTGGCTCTTGGTTACAGTGGAGAAGTCCTGTGTGGCCCCTCAGATAGTCTCCCTCACCCTGCTGTGCTGCTAAGTGCCCTGATCGCCTGTGGGGCTGTGGATGAGCTAAATATCAGTGTAATTGTCTGCTCAGGGCACAAGCACCTTTGTAATGTGTTGTACAACACCACCATTAGCACAGGCCTGGGGCTGTGGAGACATTAAATGGGCTGGGCTGTGTAGTTTATGTCCTCTTCCTCTCTCTCTCTCTCTCTCTCACACACACTCACACACACACACTGTCCAGCTATTGGTGGCTTGAAATTTAACGATTCAATTGACTTCTGGTTAATCTAAAACCATATTTTTGCAGAGCAGTGTGTAATCATTGAAGGCTCTCTCTCTTATTTGAGTCTGCAAACATCGTTTTTTTTTTTTTGAGGCAACCGTTAAGACCTGCAAATACAATTTCGGGGTGAAACCAGTGGAAAAGACGAATTCATACATTGTGATTATTAGTTGACCTGTTTTTTATCCTTTCATAAAAAAGATCCAAGAAAAGAGCTTAATTATTCAAACTACATTTGATCTCAAGAAATTAATAATAACTAACTATATCATGTTTC